TTTTTTGTATTTTCTAAATATTCAGATAAAAAAAGATGCTGATTTAAACAACGGGCGAGTACGAAGACACGGAAAACGTTTCCAGCTTTCGAACGAAATAAAGCGCAGCGAGAAATAATAAAAAAAAAACCTTGCCAAAGACTTGTGTGTTTAAATAATTGAGGCTCGTTGCGGAAATATATATATTTTCGTCGAATCAGAAACCGAAGGGACGCGCGGTTTAAGGGATTAAACGCTCGCGGAGAGAGCGTGTAATCGCATTTTTGACTTTCGTCCCTTCGATTGCGATTTTATTGCGTGTCTGGAAGAGTACGCCTCGTCGCCGAGATAACGAGATTCGCGTGCGACTCGCTCGTCGCGCGCGCTTTTTGCGACGAGAGAAAAAGAGAGAGAGAGAGAGAGAGGGGCCGAGGGAAAAAAAGAGGGCGGGGAAGGGGAAAAATTGAACGTAAGGGCAGATGCGCGCGGTTTTATTCCATAAAGGGCGAACTCACACGGAACGGAAACCGGTTCGGCGCGGGGCTAATTGTTAATTAAGACGCGGATTGCCGTGCGGATTGACAATTTGCAATTGTAAAATCCCGTTCCTCGCGCGTAATCTCGTTCGCGTATCGCCCGAGTAAATCTCGCCCGCACGTTTCCAATCGCATCGAAATTGTTTCGCAAGTACCGCTTCCACGCGCGGAAAAACGAATTTCGAAGAAAAGTTGCGAGCGAAGTGCGGCCGGATTGACACAGTCGGCTTCGCGAGGTGTTTTCGCAAAAACTTGGCGCACGTTCTGGCGCGGAAAAAAAAGGGCCGCGACAAAAGTCGTCTGTTACCGGATTAAAAGTCGCCATAAAAATACACACGTACGAATAGACAATTATTTTATTAAAGGTGTAATTCAAGTGTGCGTTTGTCACGAATTTTTCCAGCTTGCATTCACTCTCGCATGATTTATCTCCCTTCGTCGCGATACCCGGATCCATATTTACAACGACTCTCGCGCACGGACGCGGTTGCGATCAAGGTATTGCTTAAAGCGGACACGTATTTTTCAGAATAAATATTTCACCAACGCGGGGGAGGCGTGTACGCTCTCCTCGCGCGCGATTTCCTCCCGACGAGGGAAGATTCTGCGTCGCTCGGGGCAGGTTGCGAAGTATAAGAAATAATGTGAAGTAGGTCAATCGTATTTTAAGTCGGCGAAGTCTATACACTTCGATGAGCGGGGCCAGCTGCAGCCCGAGATAAGAGGCGTCGCCCACGTCACATTCCCCATGAAACGGAAAAGCGGAAAATTTACCCCCATAACTCGCCCCCGAGATCTAATCCCTCCCTCTTTTCTTGTTTCTTACTTTCCGTACAAGTTTCGCGCGCCCGTGCGGCACAATAGCGGTATTAATTAATCGGCGAAGTCGATTCTCTTCCTCGCAAACTCGATCCCCCCCCCCCCCCTCTTTCCTCTCGTTTTCGTTGTAAGTCGAATTATTGTATCTTTAAGCCGTTCTAATCCTCGTTCCATCCATCTTTCGAGTTAAATTTTTGCCCCCTCTTGAGTGACAAGTTTTCATTACGCGAATTCCCTGAATTTCTGTCAGCCCTGAGAGATCGCGCGTCCAACAATCTCTGGAAAACGTTTTGGCGGAGGGAGGGGGGAGAGAGGGGGTCTCCGCGGGCGGAAAATCGGGCGAAAGAGACAAAGGGAAAAGTGGGTTAGACACTCGCGAAATCATCCACTTCCTATTGCTCGGAACGGATGCGATCGAAACCAATCGGGGCGGCCCCGGTATCGATGGGCGCTGATTTTCGTTTCACACCCCTGTGAACCCGTTGCCGTTCCACCCCCATACGTGGTGAATGCGAGAGGGGAGCCTGGCTCGCTGGAGCAGCAGGTAAGGACCGCGTCCCAGTTTTACGTTAGCCATCAGGACTACTAGTGTGCCGTTGGAATACAATAAGTAATCGTTGCGACTCCGTAAAGCGAGTAGAAAAAAAGATTTCGCCTTGGAAAACCAATCTCGCGCGACGCCCTTCGTCCCGACTCGAGCGCATTTCCGAGGCAACGGGGCGAACCGTAATTCGCGTGTTGAAAGTTTAAAAAATTAATTGGCTCATTATACTTTGAATAATTAACTGCAAACTGGTCAGATTTCGTACGATTGTAAAATTATAGAGATATAATTAATCGGGCATATATTGATTCGTCGATCCAACATTTAACATTGAGATCGGGAAATTTTCGCCAAGAGGAGAGAGACAGGGCGTTAATTTTGACCAAGTCCTACCGGGGGTCGTCGATGCCGAGTATGAGCGACGACACGATCGCCGCGGACTCCTCGAAGAAATTCATGGACCACGCGCGAAAGGAACTGAGCGCGGTATTGGGAAAAGTAGACGACCTGGGACTTCCGGTTAAAGCCTGGCGGCTGCTTCGCGCCCGTTCGCGACTGAGACCGACGAAACTGATGAAAGTCCGCGCGAAGCACCTGTGGCTCCTCTTGCTGATCGCCACGTGGATCACGGCGCAAGCTACGTGGACTCGTGTGCTAACGTATCGAGATGGCAAGGTGAGACAAATTCTACGTCGTTCGATAATTTACGTTTCTATTTCGACACGATACGTGTCTCCCTCTCTCTCTCTCTCTCTCTCTCTCTCTCTCTCTCGACGCAGATGCTGTATTAATTGCCGGATTAAACGTAAGTCGCAAATCACGTATCGCGGATTATTTTTACTCGTCCGGATAAATTGTTAATCACACTTGAGACGGCGAGAGAACGAAGCTCGGACTTGGTCGATCGAACTCTCGAGAGCGAGAACGAGACATCTAGAATTTCAGAAGATTCGATTCTTACCGGACACTAACGAGATCTTTGTTACGAGCTGCGGCTCGGATAACTGCGAGTCTCTCGTTGTTTCAGTGCTGGATGGCGACGCCCCCGTTCGTGCAAAAACTTTTCCGACCGCCGCAAGACTGCTCGATCTGCCAGGATGTTCAACAGGTTGACAAACTCACCGCCGTCGATCCAACGATCTTTGAACAACGGTACTAAAACGCGCCCCGCGCATCGTTAGCTCAATAATTTATGCGCGATATTCCCCCCATTTCCCGAACATCCCTCCGTAACAACGTGGAAAAAAATCTCTCGCCCCCAATTAATTTAGTTCACTTACACCTAGGACCAGTTTCACAAACGCCGGTTAACTGGCCCTTAGGGATCATCGTCAAAATTTTTCGAATTGCGTCTCAATTATCGCTTACAAAAATCTTACGTAACTATCAATCCTGCCAATTTATTTACTTGTAACCACAAGAAATACGTTCAAAGTCCATCCCCGTCCCGGGACGTCATTTATAAAAAAATATTTGTCTATCTGTGTTTTATTAACTAAATTATTTATTTGCGTTGCTAACAACAAGATTTCTTAGAGATCTTAATCCGTAGGAAAGGCTTTCTCTCTCTCTCTATAAAAGAGCTCGACGCTATAATTGTTCTAAGAATTAATTTGTCGCAATCGCTAAAAAGCGTTTTATTATTTGTTCACGACACGCTTAGCAATAAATATCTCCGCGCGAGCTGAATAATTCATCGGATACGACTCTCTCCATGACTGTACTTTACTTGTAATTAGCTACGCGTATTCAGGGAAGCCGGTGGTGATAAGCGACGCGATGGCGAATTGGACGGCGCCCAAGGTGTTCTCCTTCCCGTTTTTCAAAACGCTCTACGACGGTGAGGGCGCGAGCTGCCAGTTTTTCCCGTACAAGACGGAATTTCGGAGTCTGCAAGACGTCTTCGACATGAGCGCCGATCGAGCCGTGATGGAAAAGGGCACGGCGCCTTGGTACGTCGGATGGTAGGTAACTCAGAGTCGCGCATGACTCTTGGATGCATAAAGGAGGACAAAGGGAATCGTCGAGCGATCCCCTCTTCATGATATCGTTAAATCTTTTTTCTCCTCTACGCTGATAGAATTTTCTCTTATAATTTATTCTCTTGTAATTAAAATTTGCCCTACAAATCGTGTAAGCGTAGGACACATGGCATTTTGAAGAACTGTATGAGACTCTTTTGAAATTTTACTATACATTCTACTAGTAAAATGTATACTAAAGGCCTGTGTCCACGATGCCAGCCAACTTGCAGCTTTCATGGAAGAGGAGCTGCAAGTTGACTGACCACGCATTTCTCGAAACTAGAACTTGGACCAAGTTCTAGCATCGTGGACACAGGCTTTAACAAGTACAATTACTATATAGTGAAATGTGAAGAACTGTATGAGAGTTTTTGGAAATTTTACTATACATTCTCCTAGTAAGATGTATGGTAAAATTTGACGAAACTCTCGTAAAATTCTTCGAAATGCCACGTTGTCCCACGATTACATGATTTTCAGGATAAATTTTAAGGCCGTGCAGATAATCTTAGGAGAAACCTCGACAACTGTCTGTCATCCTCGATTCAAAATTATCGTTCTATTCGAATCTCGCGAGACTATGAATTTAAGAAATATCGCTTGAACGCACGCCCGTTAGATTTTCATTTCCGGCGCGAAGATGAGGTTTAATAAGATAAGCGCGACAATGTGATTTTCCGTTGTAACGAAATCGATACGTTAATAAAATTTTCTCGAAGCGCGAGGGATAAAAAGTAATAAAAGTGACGAGTATCACGGGGAATTTCAGTAACAAATTTCCCAAATTGGCAGTGAATTAATAACGAATTTTTCATGAGCTCCTTACGGCACCGATGTAAACGTACGCTCGTTATTTTTAAGCAATTTTGTAATAATTATTAATTTCATTATCGGAAAACCATCGGCGCGCTCGCAGCGACATTAAAATAATCGCGAGCGGAATAAATCAGTCGTTGCAAATGTAAAATATGAATTCGCTCACCGACCAGCCGCATCGCCGCCGCCGACGCCGCCGCATTCCTCCGCGGAGGCCAATCCTGCGAGCATAATTATCGAAAATATAGAATATCAATTTAAAATTGCCGCGTGGACGCGGCGAATAAATAACATTTTACTCGGGCAATTCGTAATTGTCATTTTTTCCGTTGTTCGATTCACCGAGGGACCGAATGCGAGACGAATGCCAAAGCGAGTGCCAATTATTATCGCGCGACGGCGCCGCGCGCGTCGAATCATCGCGGACAAATTAAACAAACAACTCATGTAGCCTGTAATAAATAAATCCGCTCGCCAATCGCGCGGCGCGATTGCCACTTTTTTTTATTTTTTCGAACGAACACGCACTTAATTAACGCGACGGCGCCATTCGCAACGTTTACGTTTCGCGACGCGCTCCGAAACAATTCGCGCGACACTCGCCCGACGCGCTCGCGTCGCGGTAAGCGCGACATTTCGACGAATTTAATTAACGGTCGGGGGTATAGCGAAATATAATAAATTCACGGCTAATTAACGCGACGCGATAATGCCCGTCCATTTTTTACCGGCGCTCCCGCGGCGGTGAATTTTTAATTAGGCGCAGCCCAGGGCCCTCGGTATTCGACGGGGATGCGAAAATTCGTCAACTCCATTACGTACAATACGACGATCGCCCGATACCTTTCCCGGCATTGCCGATACCGGCGCGTCCGTTTCACGCGATGTTTAACGGCCAAGGTCCAATTTGGATAATCCACAATTCGCGCCGGGTATCAGGATACCATTTACGGCTTTATTTACCGCGCCGGCTAGTCTTGAATGTGCATTTAATAGAAGAAAAGTCACCTATCACGAGATAGGATCCTAATGTGGGATGGCGGGGTTTCTGTTAAATTAATGAGCAGCGTCAGCTGATTCCACCATGAATTTATTGCCCTCGGAGCGAAATCTGCTTACAATTAGTGAAGAATTCACTGTTAGATTGAATGATCGTTGCGAAAAGGATTTGTGATCGAATTTGGATGTTGAAAACCCGCCGTCTCATATCAGAAACCTAATCTCATAATAGAGGACTTTCCTCTCTATATTTCGCACAACGGACGTAATTTTCTGGCGCTTGTGCCTCTCGTATTGCGCGGCGTATTGCGTGAGATCATAAATAAATCAATCAATCAAAATTCCTGGGGGGGATGAATAAAATTTCATCCTGAAATCTCTGAAACAGATCACGCAGTGATCGTCGGTGTTTAACGCGGTAATTCAAATGTGACGAGGGATTTTTAACGTGCGGATCGTAACGTTAATTACGGTGCATTAATTCTGCAGTTTCGAATGCGGCAAGTCGCAATAACTGCTCATTATTACTGAGGATATCAACCCGGCCGAAGGAGATCGATCGGTGGAAATTCTGTCGCGGTCTACCGAGTGACGTACGATCGCGCGGAGTCCACTTGACGAAACCGTCACGAAATGCGACACCATAGGCGCGTTCGCGGAGCCGCTATTAGCGCCGAAACTGTCAAGTCTTATCTCCGTTGCTCATTGTATGTTGAAGAAAGATGGAAGGCGCATTTCGTGCTAATGGCGTGCTCCGCGAACGCACCTCGCGTCCACGACGATCTTTCGAAGAGAAATTGGTTTAATTTCGCGACACCGTGAGACTGTCATTTTGCGAGAATTAGCATATCACGTCTGCTAGATAATTGTGGCTTTCAATCGGCAACGATGGCGCAGACGATATTAAACTTGAATTAATACAAGCATCGCGAAGGGAGAATTCAATAGACTTGTTCAGATTTTTCTCTCGAACGACGATCTTTCCTTTCGAACTGACCGCGCGAAATGTCACCCATTTCAGAATTCAAGTCTCAGGCTGGAATTCTGATTACGACCTTATGCATTTTTATGTATATTAATTTTTTTCAATATACATATTTCACACGTGTATTCCGATTCTCCCCGGCGAGAAACGATTCGTCGAAACGACGTCGAATCGACATCGACGCTGTCAAATTCGACGTCAATTCGACGGTGTCGACGTTGATTCAACGTCGTTTCGATCCGCGAGTCACTTCTCGCCGGGATGTTTTCGTATTGAAATCATGAGTACAATTTATGTTGAATTCTGACCTGAATTACGAGTCGCTTATATCTCGTCGATGCAGACTAACAATCTAGCTTGCACTAGTTCACCAGTGCAGCAGTAGAGAACAAGCCTAACATCTAGAACCTTCAAGGGATCGACGCAAATACGAAACAAATGACGGAGTGGACCTGTCTGTTATCCTACGATCTTCAGCGCGTCCATAAGGACGCGCAGTCTACCTATATAAGTCTGTGGTCCGGGAGATCTTCGGCGGAAAATTCCGCTCATTAAACTTACCGTTCGATCGACCGGAAGATCCATCGAGAAAATGACGCGTTCCACTTAAACGGATCGATCGACTGGGGACGGGGTGAGGAGGGAGGGGGGGGGGCGGAGGACGACCGGAATCCGGGCGATTCCGAAACGGGCGGCCTCGGAGCTTGTAAGCGGCGAGACGCGACGTTACGTTCGCGGACACGCGTGTGTGCACGTATCCATCGACGGGGCCATCGATCGCGACGATATATGGTAATTGACGCGCGCACGCAATTAACCGGCCGGTCGCTAAATTCCCAATTCGCGCGGCCGACACGACTCCGACGCGGGAAGGAACGCGAAGCGGCGCGCGCGCGCGCGATCCCCCGCGTTTTTCGACCGCTGTGAAGTTAGGCGCGGAGGGGGACGGCGGGCGAATTGAAACGAAACAGACGTGCGCGCGCGCCCACCTCCGAGAATCGGCGGGTAAGTAGGTGCTGTTGAAAACTTGCGGGGCGGCGCGTCGCGATATTTTTGAAGAGGAGCGTACAGCCGGCGTTTATATGCGGGGTCTACAATGGCAGTCGCATGGCAGAAGTCGTAAAAAGTCGTAGTCGTAAGAATAGTCGACTATGACTGGTTAATTCTCATGTGTCTGACTAAATTGACCAACTGCAGTCGATTATTCTTACGACTGCGACTTTGCGACTCGCATTGTAGACCCCGCATTACGGGTCAATTCAGTCAGACACGTAAGAATTGACTAATCATAGTCGACTATTCTTACGACTACGACTTTACAGCTTCTATGTAGACGAGGCTTTACTCCGCGTACGCGATCTTACTCGCGCTATTAATATTCAGATTTACTCTCGCTAGATAAATACCGGCCGGTCTTCTGGCCGCTCTTAATCGTCGTAATTAATCGAAAGAAGTGGCAAGCGAATTGCGTCACTGATCGGCGGATTATCTCGCTAATGATATTTTATCTGTATTATTAGCCGGTCTCCGTCTTGCTCTTTATATCGATTTATGTGTTAGCAAATTTATTCGTCTACTTTCTTCCTCCCCCCCTTAATCATTATAAATAGATAGAGCTAGAAGAGCCGTTTGTTAGTGGCGATTCTCGCGATATCGTTCCCTCGCGTTCTAGCGCGCTGCTCGATTAATATAATATTAGACGAAGGAGAAAATAATTAGAGAAAATACATCTCTTTATTTCTATTTTTCCTCCCCCGGTGTTCTTGTACACGGCGAAAGTGGACGGTATTTTATCACTGACAATTTTCCCGGTATCATTATCTTATGTCCGTGGAGTCTGTCGCATCGATTAATATAACATTAGGCGAAGGAGGAATTTATTAGAAAATAAATAGCATTTGGAAAACTGCGTTTATTAACTAACGACGTGAAGAAAGTTGTAATGGGCACTTGGCGCTTTCATTTTTCATTGAGGTATTTTCCGAAAGCTTTTCTCCTCCATGGTTAAGAAATAAAGTTAATCGCTCCTTCACCCGTTACGTCTTTAAGGACACGGGGAGGACGGGGGGAAGAAAAGTTGTCGCATTGAGATTAATGTTGCGAAATTACGTATGTACGTTTTATGCAAACAAGAACGAGA